GATTACCTTAAAAATTATGAAAGTGGTCCATTTTTCTTTTATTATTTTGATAATATTTTGTCAGAAAGACTTTTACTTTCTTTCACTTATTCAGAAATAATTTATTTAGGAATGTATTCTATTAATTAATAATATAAAAGATTATTTTCAATAAACGGTCTGTTTAAGAATGTTGTAACTGGAATAATTGTAGGTCCATTCATCAGCTTTTATTCCCATAAAAGTTCATCAGCCATCTTTAAGACTTTCAAAGAATCAAAAATTATCTGTTTTCATAGTTGAAGATTCTTCAGATTCAGATTTACCAGTTTTCTGTATCTTAAGAAAATGGCTTAAATGATCTATGACTAATTGAAATTTATTTCTAATAAAATATTCTCTCCAGTTTATAAATTTCAGATTTACTATTAAAATACATTTGAATTGCTGGTTTAAACTTTTATTTCAGCTGGAACATGAGCTTAGGAAGATTTGTACCGGACTATAATCATTATTTAATTCATGTGTTCTATCATAATCTAAAGTAATAAAGTCACCACGTAAAATTTTGGAAATTACATAATTGATTATAATTCTGCGATCTGCATTTTAAAGAGACTTACAAATATTTAAAATCAAATTATTAAAATTCAGTTTAACAAAATAATAGGCTAGAAAATGATTTTAGTTGATTTTGATATGACATATATTTATAGTTAAAATATGATATCATATTTAATTATTTTTCATTTTTAAGCAAATATTACGATATTATTGAAATCTTCAAAATTTTAGTATGAATTATTATAATATTTTTTATCTTTTATGTTATTGGTATTAATTAATTATATTGAACTATATTATTCTAATTCTATTATATTTCATTTTCCTAATTTCTACCAATCATCAAGATGTAAAAAATTTAATAATTATAATTAAAAATGACTCTAATTTAAATAATATATTTCAACTTTTAACATATAATTAAATAAATCCATTATTAAGAGGTAAAAATATATCAATGAATACATACCTATGTGTTATCAACTAAAAAATAAACTTCTAAATTAAATCTTTAGACGAGTAATTTAAATTAGTTTTAAACCATTACAAAGTGTTCAACAAATTAATCTCTTATTTACAACATAGAAGTACTGTTTTGTTTTCATTATCGTCGTTTCTATTGCTTAGTTGTATCATACAATCAATTATTATTACGTAAATATTCTTTCAATGTGAAACTGATTTAATTTCAACAGAACTATTAAAAAGTATAGTTGTAACAGAAATAAAGCTATTATTTAAAATTATAACCAACCATGATATTATTCTGAAAAAAAAACACTCACAGAAGAAAATGGAAGATATTAAATGGTACCGTTTTAAGGAATACAGAAATATCATTATAAAAAACAGTTTAAGTGAGTCTACTCTTAAAATAGGTAGATGAAAGGAAGTATTGCATTTTTTAAATTAAGTATAGTATGAATTTTTATACCACACATGAAAAATAATAATAATCTTTTATGAAAGTAAATCCGTCAAAGGCATCCTTAGAAAAATGTGGAATGCCATTTCTATATATCTAATTAAAGAATAAATATTTAACTTTTATAAATGGAATCTATCTCAAAAATTTTAGCCTTCACTGTTAATTTAGGATTGAATAATGATTTAATTTCATTAGTTGATTTTTTCCTTTTAAGATCCAACTAATGTTAAAATTGATTTGGTAGCATAAGAACATAATTTAGATGCAAGTTACTAGCAATTCTTCAGAAATCTTTATTTAAATGAATCACAAGCTTTCTTGATTTTTGCTATTAAAGGATTTACTGAAAGTTTTTCACATTGTTATTAAATTAATTCATATTTTTATCTATAAAATAATATTTGAAGAAACTCTATCTGATAAAGATGAGCTCCTTATTATGAATTAAATAAAATTCTATAAAAAAGGAAGGTTTTTACACATTATGCTTATCAAACTCTGCATAATATTTTACACATATCAATAACCTTAAGTTATACAACTTTATGTATCTTTTCAGTCTTATCATTTTCAAAGTTCATTAAATTTAATATTGTTAATATTGGTATTATTTTGTGTTAACTAAATTATTTTGTGAAATTTTAAAAATATTTTTAGAATAATGAACAATTAGTAAGAATTTATCATTGATGGGTGAATTTAAAATATCTTTTCAATAATCATAAATTATTTTATCATAATAAAAATTGTGTACTAAATCCTTCTTCATCCAAAGACCTGTTTTTTTACCAAGCACATTATAATCACCTTAATGTGTAATTTGTTTACAAATTGAAAATTCATCATCTAAATCTACCCAATATCCTAATTTTTACTAATTTCCTTCTAAATCATATGAACCACCATCACTATAAATTCCTTATACTTATAACATTCTTACATTTAATTATATTGACCTGTACCCCATCTATCAAATATAATATCCCATTTCCCTATCTTAATACCTTTAAGATTATATTCACCTTTGTAAATAACTAATTTTTTTTGATTAAATCCTTCATCCAAATCTTCCCATTTTCCAATCTTTTTCAAATTACCTTCTAAATCATATGATCCACCACCACTAATTATTATCCTCTTAAATTATAACTTTTACATTAATTTATATTAGCCTAAGCCCTAATCATTGAATAGAATATCCCATCTTCCTATCTTCATTCTATTTTGATTATATTCACCCTTGTGAATAACTTATTTTTAATTATTAAACCCTTTATCTAATACCTCCCATATTCCGACCTTTTATTAATTACCTTCTAAATCATATGCTCCACCACCACTAATTATTATCCTCTTAAATTATAACTTTTACATTAATTTATATTAGCCTAAGCCCTAATCATTGAATAGAATATCCCATCTTCCTATCTTCATTCCATTTTGATTATATTCACCCTTGTGAATAACTTATTTTTAATTATTAAACCCTTTATCTAATACCTCCCATATTCCGACCTTTTATTAATTACCTTCTAAATCATATACTCCACCACCACTATATTATTACCCTGTTACTATATAATTTTTACATTTATTTATATTAACTTTTTCCCCATCTATCGAACAAAATATCCCATCTCCCTATCTTAATCCCTTCAGCATTGTATTCACCATTATAAGTTATTTATTTAAAATTATTAAACTCTTCATCCTATTCTATCCATTTTCCTATCTTTTACAACTCACCTTGTGAATTATATGATCCACCACCACTATGTAAATTCTTATATTTATAAATACATTTATTTATAATCCTTTTTTCCATTAGCACTAAACATAATATCCCACTTCCCTACCTTTTTTTTGTTCTATTTATATCCAACATAAATAATCGAACCAAACTCTTCAAATTGTTTTTAATTTCTAAAAATCTCATTTCCATTATCATCAAAAGTTATATACCCACTAAATCATTAGACTTTTTTAATTACCATAATAGGTTCTAATATATTAAATTTAAAATATTCCAAATCCCTATTTTTTGACCTTCTAAATTATATTCACCATTATAAATAATT